AGCTGTTCGCCAGTGGATGGGCATAGAACATCAAAGGAACTGGGAAAGAACAGAAGGAAATGCACAGTCAAAGAGAATGCTGAAGGCACCTACAGGTGCGATAGCGGCAGAAGCCCTTGGGCTGAGTAGGAAGACCCTGCGGAAGGTGGTTGGCTTTATTAGCGGCCATTGGGTATTCCGTGGACATTTACACAAGATGGGAATTCAAGTTGAAAGCCTCTTATGTAGGAAATGTGGAGAGGAGGAGGAGACAGCATTCCACGTGATATTTATGTGCCCAGCCCTACAAGGTCTGCGCATGAGATCCCTTGGCCTATCGACTGGAGATCAAAGGGAAGAACGGGTCACCATTGTCAAAAGGATCTCACGGTTCACAAAGGACCTGGGATTTGACAAAGAATGAGGACCTGTGAATGAGGGTGCACAATAAGCTGTTCTAGCTGCGTTGCAATCCCATGGTTACTTGAAGCCTGGCCCTCTATTAAAAAAAAAAAAAAAAATGCCAAATTAAAGCCCAATCGGTCCTGTAGTTATTGCGTGATTGAGCAACACACATACACACATACACACACCCACACAAACTCACAAACTTTCAGATTTATAATATTATTAAGATATTAACTGTAGGAAAAATATGAACTTGTTCATGCCATAATTGTTTTTACGTTGCGGCTAATGTGGTTGATTTAGCTAAACAGCTGTTTTAATCAAATCAATAGCAATATTATTATTAAAACGTTTTTATTAGCTCGCTTGTAAAATACCATGGAGACCAATCAATATTTACTTTTAAAATGTTCACCTCAGAACTTTTAAAGCCAAAGGGGCAAAGCCTACGGTCAGTATCGAATTGTGAGTAGAGAGTAGTCCTATAATGGTCCTTGGTATGGTAGCTATTTTTTTGTAAAATTTTAGCCCAGTTGGTTCAGTAGTTTTTGCACCTATTAGTAACACACATACAGACAGACACCATTAGATTTTTATATAATAGTATAGATTAATAGCTTAGTATAAAATAAATTTACCAACTACAACATTTTACAATATTCTTCATAAGAATAACATGGGAATTTTAAATTTGCAATTTTTTGAATTTTATCCGATACCAATAACCGTACTAAAACACGTTGATATACTAAATTATTTGTTTTAAGCTCTTTAAAAAGGTCTAGAGAGAAATTGGGTAATTTTGTGTTTTGAGGGTCAAAAATAAGAAAAGCCAATTTTTACCCCATTAGACCCCCAGTAAAACCCCGTTATCATGATCCGATCATGCTGGTTCGCGAACTCATTCCAGTCTATCCCACCCTACACCTTCAAGCAGAATTTCATCAAAATCGGACAAAAAATACTCAAGTTACCGCGTTCACGGACACATAAAAACTCTCTATATACATACATATATAAAAATTTAAACGAATCGTGTTTTTGTTCTCTGTGGATATCAAAATGAAAAATTAATTGGTCCTATGCCTTAGGTCTTCAGAATTAGCTACAGGGAAATTCTCTAATGTAGGGAAATTTGCTACAAAACCATCACAGCTACCACAATGGAAAAAATATTCCCTGAATAGGAGGGACATTAAATCCCTTAAGAGTAACTGGATAATCTAAACAAACAATAATATTAGAAAACGTTATTCGGTGTCTTCTGCTTTATTTATTTATTCATTTTTTTAAGATCAACTAAAAATAAAATAACATTCCCTGTATAACATTTCAGCCAACCAGTTTATCATGTTGGAAATCGTAAAAGGTTTAGGGACATCGTATAGTCCGATGTTTTGCAGTTGTTTATACAATTAAAAATTACAGTTTAAAATTTAATTTATATTTTAAACCACTCCACGTTTTATTTGAACGCTAAACGACTAATTACGTTAAAACCACACAATAAACAAGTCCATAAAAACAAGGTGTTCAAACACGCGACCATTACTTTCTGTTGGCTTAAACACAACAATGGGGTTAAACATGAATATTTAAAACGTTAGGTGACAGAATAACGCTCGTCCCGCCAGCTACGATGGATGCCGATACAAAAGCAGAGTTCGTTTGTTTAGGAATATCTGTAAGAAAAAATAATATTGATTTATCTACCCATAATTAACATCGCCAAAACAGTATAGCAGTAATGCCAAATCATGAGACTGACCTCAATAACTATTTAAAAGGGAGAGGGTTAAGAAAGTTTATTGAGATTTTTATATCACAAGTTATTTTTATTATTTTACAATTAATTATAAAAATACTTTTGTTTAAATAGCATTGATGAATACAATCTTCCTAAATGCTTAGCCTTTTAGTGATTGTATATGAAAAAATGAAAGCTATCTATAGAATCTTTATTGCCAATTGTGCAGTATGTAGTAATGTATAATTTTAATTCAATTTAACAGCTTTAACAGGCTGCAAATTAAAAAATATCACATACAAAGTTATCGAAACCATAGAATAAACTGAATGAAAAGAAAAAGTTGAAATCCAAGTAAACGATGGAAATACAACTCAATTGGAAATTGTAACCATGATAAATCTTAGAAAACATACCAGTACAAAGAAAACTAAAGATATTGTAGATGGTAGAATTGAGAAACCAGTATTTCTAGGCTACAGACGATAGGAGCACCACCATCAATTCCCACAGTCGACGTAACTACGAGGCTAACAGTTACACAGGGAAGATAAACATTACATCGCCTCCTAGTCGAGATCTGCCGTCTGTAAAATATATATACATTTTTAGAATATTCCAGTATTACTCTAGGAAATTTCGTGTTTAGTAAAAATTGCCTTATAAATAATCCAAGACAATTAGCACGTATCGTACAAATCAAAAAATTCTCTGAGCCAAGCTTAGTTACCAAAACAGGCAATCATCACCAGTGCGGTTAAGTTTTGACCCACTGACCCCTCTACTACACTGAGGGGTTGCAATCAATTGACTCACCCCCAGAAAAACAAACTGGCACAACAACAAACTGGCAAACCAAAATGGTAATGTTTTTTGCCCTTAAGCGACGAGGGAAATTAGTTCCTATGTATTTCTAAAAATGTAATCTCCGATTTGCTCAAATATCTAAAGTTGTAGATGAATATGTTACGTCTACATTAAATGTCCCGAACACATGCAATGTATTTAAATGGTTTTAATGTTATTTTACCGATTAAAATAACGGAAAGGATCTACATTATAAGTTTTATGTCATGGTGATAACGATTTTGAATCAATTAATAAAATATGAGTTAGTACAAATATTTCATCAAACATAAGATTACCAAAGTAACTTTACTAATATTTTAAAAGGAGTATATCAACTTTTTAACATACAAGGTAACCTTAAGTATATATTTCCAAACAAACAACGTTTAATCATCCAATGGATATTTATAAATGAATATAGTTACTATACTAACATAATTGGACAGATTATTGACATTGATGGAATTTAAAAACATAATAATTTAATTTTAAAGGTAAATAACACGTCTTTCAAGCTACAGAAATAATATGCCTGACAATCATTAGATAGGCAAACGTATACTTTTCCCTATGCCATAGGATTTTATTAAATGATAACACAAATGTTAAAAAGGACCGATTAAATTATCTCAGTCCAAACTCATGAAAGGTTTGTTGGGGATAGGCCTGGTATCAAACTCGTTACCATGCATGACGCTAACCACGAGGCTAGAAACTACATTTTTATGTCAATGATTTTAACTGTAATGTTATCGAAACTATAATTAATTTTTTAATTGCTCCATGCTTAGTATTTCACATGGTATCCTATATTTTTTTGGTTAGTAAACTTCTACAAACTAGAATAACTAAACCACTCAACAAATTCAATTTATTTCCCTTGATAGTTTCATTATATTTTGAACATAGATTCCCCCTGAGAGCCTTGGACATAGCATGCTTGGCCTCGATGGGAAGATTGTTCCTGAATATAGTTGCTGATACAATTAGAACTCGACGTGATATCCATACCTGCAACTTGGACTATACTATGATAGACGCCAGACGAGACCAACGTACCCTCCTTTCTAAATTCAACTTCTCCGCGGCTTATGTCACAATGCAATTAACTTATAAGGAACTATTTAAGCTATTGGTACAAGCTATTATTAAGTTAATAAAATATTCTATTATAATAAATACAATTATAAGATTTTGCAATTCAAATACCTTTTAACATTTAAACTTTACTGCAAACTAAATAGGAAATGCAAATCTTAGACATAATAAAAAGAAAAATTAAGAACACTTGAACTATTCTACTTTTAAATGACTAAGCGTTCTCGATTTCTTTAATACCTTATCACGATGCAATCACACCTAGTGCTTTTGTTTTAGGATGTTTTTAGTAAGAAATGCTTATTGGTCCAGACTTGTTTCTATATAATATTTCACGAATGTTGTATACCCTGATGGTAATCTGTATCTATTTTATTTGCAAGTAAAAAATGATTGGAATATATTTAATTTATTTTAAATCCATTATAGTACTATTCCATCTAGAGATGGATAATGTAATTAATTTCATTTATGTAAACTGCAATCCGTTTTTTTCACACTCGTGATAATTATACATGATTCCACCCCATAAATAAAATTTAAAATCCATACTATCTAAAACTCATTGTCAGCCATTTTCATGGGCAAAGATATATTTTTATTATTTGTTTACTCAGCACAACGAACATTTTCAATTCGTTTAATCGTGTTTTAACGTTCTTAGCTACATTTTATAAAACATTAAATTATTGAGCCAAAAATCATTCTGTAAGACAAGAGCACCATCGATTTCGTACTTGTCAGCTAAGTAGGGAGAAATCCTAAATCGGAAAATCCGTCAATGGCTCCTCCCCCAATGTTCATTCATGGGTAGCTGTGGGAGGGAGGAGGGGGAGGTGGCTTATTGTTGGGGGGGAGGGAGCGCGGCTGACTTCAACTTTCAACAGTTTGAGTCAGTGTTCGTCTGCTACGTGCGCGGTCAGGATGGCTAAGCCCTCCGTGATAGAAGATGTTAACCATCCCAAGAAACCTCTACGTCTGAGAAACCTAACTTCTAGAGTTGAGACCTACGACTCTCTCCACCTTACCCAAGAAGTGTACCAGGTAGAGGGTTCTAACTATGCGCTTCAAATCTTAAACATTAAATGCCACCGATAATTAGGTGAAAGTATAGGATAATCAATACGCGTCAACGGTAATCATTTCCTACTTTGATAGGTAAACATTTTCACATTAGGCTTTGTAGCTCGTATTGCATTCTGAACGATCAGTTTTATGCACGACGGAAACAGAAAAATATCTAATTAATATTTTATATGCTTTTTACCCAGATCAATTATTGTTAAATGAATATGAAATTTGTTTTAAAATGGCCTTTGGGGATTTTATAAACTGGATAAAAGTTTCTGAAGTTTTGTCGGAGACGCTTATCTTAGACTTCAAAACTAAATTAAAACATCAAAGGAGTAAACTTATAAGTTTGTGAAGCATTTATAGTTATAATAAAATTATAACTTTTTAATTGTAATAAAATTATAAATAATTATAATGTTACAATAAAATGTATTTACTTATTTGCTCCATTTCTGACTGCTTATTACTGAAATGCTTCAAAACCGGCAAAAAAAATGCTGTGTTGCAACAGCTAAATAAGTGGTTATAAATATAAAATATTAAGAAGATTAATACATTTTGCTGTAATGAATATTTTTCAAAGATCACTTATTTGTTATAAAGAATCTCTCATAAAACAATTAGTTAATCAAAATAACGTTTTACACCAAAGACAAAATATATTGGGGATTTAGGTGTTTTCAGATTGTTATTAATCTATTTAGAAACCAGTTTAATAAAAGTTGTTAGTAAAGAAAGTGAAAAATATTACCATGGTCTTAGAACTGGTTTTATTTTCATTTGGGTCATGGCATTGGCTAATTTTTATGACAGCCTGTTATAATTCTCAAATCTAAGTTCTCACATTATTTAGCTGTGCGAACACAGACAAGAAACATACAAAGTAATCTTAGGAATACAAAAACGAGCGAATACGGTGGTCCATCGTTTAATCAACCCTCAATCATTTATATTTTATACGTTAGTATAAAGTAGGTATATAAAAATTATAAATATGTCACCTAATCACAAAAAAATATATGGTTTTTATAAAATGTGTCATAAACGATAAACATGAACTCATCTAAAGATATACTACATATTTAACATAGAATGAAAGGTGGTTGAATACAATTTTGTATACAGCTGTAACATGAAAAACTACAAAGAAAAGTAAGTTAACATTAGCGATTATTCTTGCATACATTAAACTTAATTTCTATGAAACCGAAATTTGTAAAATTCAAACAAATATAACCAACTTTGACAATTTTGTTAGAGCAACCAGATTGAAACATTATCAATCGTTGGCTTATTATTTGCATTCAAAATACAAAATACAGTATTGATTTTTGGGGCTGAAGTATAGATTTGGTTTATTTGCTAAAGAAAACACATGTAAACCCTTCAATATAGAAATAAGCTATCCACATACCCAATGTATATTTCCTCATATAAGACGGATGGATAAGATTGCTTTAACATATACTATGTACCATACATCCAAATTAAGCCGTGAAGACCTATTACATTTTCAACCAAACAGAATCAAAGGTCATTTGTCAAACCACCAAAATGGCTGCGTAAAATAATTTTAATTAAAAATCTTTGTGAATTTTAACATTTTTGTATGATGCATGAACTTGTATTCTGGTATGAATTGTACACGATAAAACAAATGTACAAAGATTCAAGATTGTTATAGAGTAAAATGCAAAGGTTGTTCTGATAAACAACAGTGCCAATTACTTTTTTTTTATTTTACTTGTTTGTAATAATAAATCTTAGTAGTATTTCAATAAATAGAAACATTGTTACATATGAGTAAAGATATTTTAATAGTGCTTAAAATGTTGAAATTGCATGGAGGGTGTTTTTACGAGTTAATATATCTGCAGTAAAATTGATGTATTAACATCAAAATAGTGTTTTCATTAAAAAGTAGGATAAAGAATGTGTTAACCTGCAGAATAAAGATGGTTTAAATAATAAATAAGATCCAAACTAAAAAAATTAACTATGGGTTAACAAATTTAGATATGATCTAAAAAAAAAAATGATATATGCATTGTCAAGATAGTGTCAATACATTGTTTGATATACAATTTGTATGATTTTAAGGAAGTAATAATAAATTATTTTAATAATCCAATTATTAACTACAATTAGAAGGTAAAGAAATTATATTTTTGCATGATAGTTTCACTATGTGCAAGAGTTATATTTCCACTATCCTTGAACAGTAAACTATGCTTCAGAAATGGCAACATACAAATTGTTGAAGAATCTTTTGAATATTTGCTATAATTTATTTGTTATACTTCTCGTTATACAAAACAAAGTCACGTTATTGTATATACTTGTTGTTGTCCAAATACACAAGGTCCAGTTGCTATAGGTTGCTCGTTACTGAAAACTATGACAACATTGAAAACATCGTTTACAAATATACCAAATTTGAGTAATATCTAGAAAAAAAACCTCAGAAAGAAAATTCGTGTTTTTATATGAATGTATTAAAAAAACATATCAATAAAACAAGGAAAAGTCGATTCAGTGCTAAAATATATTGGTTTTAAAGAAGGAGGGGGTGACAGCTTTATTAGTTGATGTAGTTCACAAATAGCTTAAATCATTAATATATTTTATTTTACTGACTTTTTCAAGGATTAATCGTGTTTTAAGAAGAACGGCACTAAAAGCCATTTTTTGAATAAAATTACGTGTTTGCATCCTAAAAAGGTTTTATATACAAAGAATAAAACCGTATATAAATAAATAAATTTTCCCACCAAGCATATTATATAAGTAGGATTGCTTCAAATGAGGATTGCAATTAAAAAACGATTTAGCGTCTTCCAAAGACAAATTAAGACAAGTAATTTTAGACAACAAAGACAGATTGCAGAGAGTTCATTCCTGTGTTTTTCCTGCCAGAAGAAGGGCTATTTGTCTGGCAAGCTCAAAGAGTCCAAGTTTTATTTCTCAGGACTGGAGTGACAGACATTGATACCCTTGTACTTATTTTAGTTGCTTGAAACATTCTTTATATTATTATTACAGTCCATGCTTAAAAAATACAAATGCGTATTATTTAAATTTAAAATTAAGGACTACTTGATTATGTTTGAACAATTTAACTGTTTAGTGAGTGAAATGTAATTAAATAACAAAAAAGTACATATGTGTTAACGAGTGGTTGTTTCACGGTATTTTTTGTTGAATCGTACATGACCAGCTCTGGAATATTTCCAAACGTCACTTTTGTTATACGTTCTATTTATAACATATTTTAACGAGGGTTATTGTAAACAAAACAGATTTAAAACACGTTTGTCTACAAAATGAATCTATTATTACATAATGTAGAATTTAGTTTAAATGTGATTCCGAATAATAGCTAAGTAAATTTAAAGTCGAGTATATTTTTGGAGTATCCTTTGTATTATGGTTTAGGCATTAAGAACTTAAATGTTATCACACCTCAAAAATCATAATAGTAAATATCATCGAACACGCTTAAACATAAAAAAATCCTCAGACAGATTATCGAAATGTTTTCTTTAAGCCAGTAATGGCCATAACTAGTAAATGTAGTAATTGATTTTTGGCGTCATGTAGGCCTACCCTATTCGTCAACATTTTACTAATTCACCCCCACGTAAACCCACTAGGTTTTTAGTAAACTATTTTTCTTTACTAAGTGTACAACCATTCCGCAATTTTTTTTGTAATCGGGGTTTATAGTGAGATAGTTAAGCTATTAACTTTAACTCTTTAAAGTAACGTAGCTGCTGAAAAATATCCATTAACTAGTTAAATTGCTAGACGCCTGATTATAAGTTATTTCCTACGTGCAGGACTTCTAGTCTAGTCTAAAATGCAAATACATAGCTCAGTTAGTGGTATAGCCTACATGCTGGTAATTATTACCATAATGCGCCCATCCTCACCACTAGCTCCTGCAATGAATGCGGTCGCGTGCGTCTTTCACTTCACGATGACAACTGGTCAAAAAGTCGGTTAGTTTGCTTTTTATCTCCTAGCCACTCATAAAATTAAATTCCGCTCTACCAAAAGCAAAAGTTGCCACAAGTCGCAATCACTTGTTTCTGGTTTGGGTATTAAGTCTATAACTAGGAAACACATGCATTGTTAATTATTTAATGTATTTAAAATTACTTTTTAATCGTAAAGTTGATTTTTTCTAAACGCAATCAACACACGTATACTGGGGAGACCAAAAATTGACGCGTATTTTATTTCGTTTTCCAGAATATATTTAGTCTCAGGTAGCTCAATGAAAGTGTTTATATCGACATCAACTAGAAACTACTTGAACTGCTGTGCTCCTCAGGTCATCACTATTTACAAACAAGCGATAAGGCTGCTCAGTTGACAATACGCGCCAGCTGATAAGAGGGACTGATCAGAAGTGAGCAAGTCGTTGAGGCACGAGATAAGTCTTATGTTTAGGCACCTCGGGCATGAGTCTCATTGAAACATAACATCCGTGAGCGGGACGAATGGCATGACCTTCTCTGAGATAACAACACTCAACTTGAGACGTTGCTCTCATTGACTGATACTCTAATGTATCTTAAGTTAAGGGTCTTTACAGGCGTAACTTTGGTATATGTATTTGCAAAATAAGCCCCCAATGGTTACACACGATGTTTTAAATCAGGGTTTATAAGTTTGAAGCGTAAAGGGGATAAATTAAAATTGTAAATTTTATAAATGCGAATCACCTTTTTATTTGATTACTTATGGTCAATCAGCAATAGATTTACAAGCAACTTTAATGGTGGTTACAAAGATCTAAAATAGGCCTACGATGAAACCGCCTTACGGCCAAATATATTTGTCATTTTTAAGTATCATATTTACATTTTTTTAACATGTTTGAGTTAAATAGAGTACTACAAGCAACACAAGTAGACTCCTCATCCCGTTGTTAATTTTGAAGCTTGTTTTTCATGTCTAGTTCA